CCCAGTAAAACCTTCCCCAGCCACTTTCCCTACCCCCAGCCACGTGGAATCCTGCACATTAAAACTTCTTGACATGCAGAGATGGTCCTGCGGCAGGTGGACACCTAAACTTCTTCCGTGGTCAGCCATAACCACACAAATCCTGATATTTTACCCTTTTTTCCATGCTAGAAACATGCATTAGATATGGTTGTCGTCAGGGGCCCTGTAAAGAGGGCAGAAGGACCCAGAATTTAAAAAAAAAAAAAAAAAAGTTAAAAAAAGACACGACTTCATAACTCACCTTTTGTCTCACCAAAGCTACTTACCTTAAAATCAATTGTTCACATGAAGAACAGATGTCAGCCAGAGTAATGAACAGAGGAGGAAAGTAGGAGCCCCAGGACACCAGCTGGGGATTTGCCTGGTACAAACCATCCGACAGCATTCACTTCTCGGTCACAACCTGCACTCCAGGGGAATGCTGGATCAGAGGGATGTGTATAACATCTACTCTTTAATCATGATTTCTGCAGCATATAACCCCTTTTCAACTATGTGTGTGTGTGTTTAATACAAACACTCTTGATTAGTGTGGGGCATTAAGTGACATTTTAGAGTATTATTTATAAGCCCTTTTTTAGGGCTCCAGCCAATTTCCTCAATTTGTCAGATGCTTTTCTTCATGCCATATGTTTTCATTAGAAACATTGCCTTTGAAAATAGGTCCAAATCACGGTGGTTAGTTTGGGTTTTTTTGATATATCAGTTTCCACTGCTAGAACTAAACATCCTCTCTTCCTGCACCTAAAATAGCTTTGTATTAGATCAACCTTTTCAGTAAGCAAAGGAGTATAACACATAGACACTGGTCCTTGAGAGCATCAGTTTGCATCAGCTTTTACATCTGCATGGGCATGGTGGCCACAAATATCCATGGTTTACTCTGCAGTTCTCCCAGCCCCACAGTTTGGATTATTTGCAATGCAAGTAACTAGCAAAAGAAATTTACCTCTAATACTACAGCCCATTAAATGACACAATTCAATAACGTGTTACAACAGAATTATCTTTAAAACACAAAGTGAGATCCCTGTAGGAACAAAACAATAACAATCTTTGACAACACAATTATTTGAGACTTGCTGAAATATCTTCACAGTTAGGTGAAGAAATCTAAAATGGCTATTTAGAACATAAATTTCCAGGGAAATAAAAGTAAAAAAAAAAAAAAAAGAAATCAAATCTTCCATGTAGATGCCTAGTTTAATATGTCTGCAGTGTGCAAGATAATATTCCTATTATGAGAGTGAAGGGGAGGAAAAAATATTTGCATTTTATAACCACAGCCAAATAACATAACAATTAAAGATGGTTATGAAGGATGCTACACAAAACAGCTAACTGTCTGCTGAGAGGAATTTTGGTTGTATAACGTATAATGCACCTAAAGGCAAAATTCCAGCCCACCTAAGTTACACCTAAAATCGGTGTTAAGTGAAGAACAAGCACCTCTGTCCCAGATGGAGACAGGCTGATGGGCCATAAGTTCCATCATCCTGAAGGCAGCCAAAATCCAGAGGCTGCCACCCAGCACACCCCAGCTCTGCACCCCATCACAGCCAACTTTCCTTTCAGCTCACCTGCTATCTTCGAGCCATTTGGGATCATGTCCTGCCCAAAACAAGGCACCAACTGCCATCTTGTCCCTTTTCCCTGGAGAAGGTCCATCTCCCCCTTGGTGGGCTCCTGCTATGGGACCAAGGGCAGCCCGGAAAGGGAGGGACTGCAGCACCCATCCCCAAAAGATCAAAGGGTCAGATCAGACAGAAGAGTCACAACAATCTCATCTCTCAATACTATTTTTTATTATGTGTCTTTGCTGACAGATAAAAAATTCGGGAAGTAGTTAAAGGAAGAGAGAGACAGGAAGATAGAGTTCCAGACCTTCTGAGTGAAAACCATTTTTGGTCAGGCTTCCTCAAGGGAGAGCAACAGTCCCTACCAGGGAAGGGACCTGATGCTCCTAGAATGAATTCAGGGAAGGGAAGTGTCCAAAATATCTCAGAAGATGGACACTGGACTCCAGCAAAGCTGGACTGACTGATTTTAGAGGAGTGAACACAAAGCCTTCCAAAGGAGAGAGAGGAACAGGGAAGGCGTCAGGAGAAATGGGCAAAATCATGAATTCTTCATAAATCAAGAACTGAGTAAATAATTGTACAAACAGCAGAAGTGAGATCAGAATTTACTAATGATTAAAGAAGCACAAGCATATACAGGGAACACACAGGCTGCTTAAGAAAGTTGTGGGTGCTCAGGATTTTTTGTTCTGTGTTAAATAACAGGTCAGACAGCTGTCTATACACTGGCCATGCCTTTTGAAGCAAACAGGAGCTATATAACGTCAGAAATACCTTACACAGAAGGCAGGGTACAAAGACATCAGGATAACACCAAAATTCCTCCAAAAAAAGCTTCCATTGGGGATAGCTTTCTATTTCTCTTTATCCACCACTTTTCTTGAACATTACTCTGAACACAAAGATTTACCTCCGTTTGTAAGGCAGCGTAAATACAGTTTAACAAAGACAGTAAAATAAATAGCAGTGTCTTAAAATAAGAGTTTTTCCCAGTTATCTCATCAAGTGAGACAAACGCTGATGGATGCCTTAAGGCTTCTTGCTTTCAGCTTCTGATGTTCTCAGTGCCCTTGGGACAGAATCGGTACTCAGCATCTTACTCATGAAAAAGTCATAGAACCAGAGAGGAAAGTAGCAGAAGATGCAGAGGGTCAAATAAGCCCCTTTGCCGGGAGTGTACAAGCCGTGGGGCCTCTTGGCCAGCAAAGCGTGCAGGATGGCACTCAGGACAGGAGAGAGGTCGGCGGCACAGTACGTGGGCATGTGCAAGAGGCAGGTCTTCAGCCCCAGGAGATAGTCCTCACCATAGTCCTGCCGTGTGTCTGCTGGGAGGTTCTCCACCAGCTCCTTCTCTTGCTTATCCCACAGCTCGGATGTGCCTTGGATACCTGCAGAGGGAATATCACAGGATAGCAAGTGCATTTTGGGCCAAATTTTAAAAATTCAAAAAAGATTTTTAAAGTCGGCATGTTTTTCTCCCCCCACCCCTCTTGCCATTCCGTCCTTATTCATTCTAGAGGCGTTTCTAATCACTATTTATTAAGAGATCTGAGTGACTGAGGAAAGACAGGCAAACTAAGATGAACAGGATTTACTTGGGCTGGCCAAGTGCTAATCTCCTCTTTCCCGAGTGACATTGGTATTTCAATAGCTACTTTCATGAAGGATAAGGCTTGAATTTGGCCAGATTTAAAAAAAAAAAAAAAAAAAAAAAGCAGTGGCCTTTATTGCCCATCATGAATTAAGCATTGCAAATAAAGAAAAATCTTTAAATATTTATTTAAGTCTCAAATACCAGGACTTGTTTTGATGCATGAAGTTTTCACCCAGAAGTCTGACAACAGCTAAGCACAGCCCTGAAGGTAGAGCCTCGGGCAGGTACCACTGACCACGTGGGCGCTGTCAGAGCCCAATGCCTCACAGGACCCCTCCCCAGGAGCGGAGGTACTCAAGGGAGCAGGATTTAATGAAAAAGATCATTTTAGAATCATTGAATGGTTTCAGTCGGAAGGGACCTTAAAGCCCATCTAGTTCCAACCCCCCTGCCATGGGCAGGGACACCTCCCACTAGCCCAGGTTGCTCAAAGCCTCATCCAGCCTGGCTTTGAACCCCTCCAGGGATGGGGCATCCACAGCTTCCCTGGGCAACCTGGGCCACTGCCTCACCCCCTGCACAGGAAAAGATTTCTTCCTAATATCTCATCTATTTTGCTTTTCATCAACATAAAAATTATCTCCATGAAGTCAGCAGGTCATGCTGAGTAGGCAGCCATGGGATTTGATGTTGTCCTCAGGTAGCTGCTGGACTCATCCACCTAGCAGGGACTTGTGTGTGACACCCCCCTGGTCCCCGGTTGGGACCTGTGTGACACCCAGCCTGCTTCTGGGTGGGTGCAGCAGGAGGTGAGCCTGGAACCCAGAGAGGCTCTGCAGAAAGTGCTCAGAGGAGTGGGAGGGGGATTTGGAACAGAAAGAAGCAGGAGCACCGCAGAGGGAAGGAGCGGGGAGGAGAGCTCAGGACTGTACAGAGTAACACCGACAGCAGGTACGCAGGAGGAGAGGCATTGCTGCAGACGCTTTGATGCAAGGCTGAGCAGCTGAATAAAGAGAGCTCTAACACTGAGAAAGGTAGGACTGACAGCAAGTCCTGAAGCTCTCATGCAGGACAGGCAACCTGTAACTCTCAAATCAACCACACAATGATGCTCTTTTTTTTTTTTTTCTTTAACTTCAGCAAAGCTAGAGCAGAGGAAAAGCACCAACTGCCTGAACACTGCTCCATCTCAAAGCAGAGCTCTCCCCTCTGCCCAGGAGAAAGGCAGAGGCAGGCAGTGTGCAGGACCAGAGGGAACATCTCTTGCAAAAAATGCAGATCTTAATTTCCATAACCAATGTGAAGAGTGGGCAAAAAGTCCAACTGCTGAGAATCACTCAGGGCCCTGTCTGAGGATGCTGGAAAGGGGCGAGGCAGAAAGAAATACCCGAAATGTCAAATACCAACCTGTTCGGAAACCTGACGGATGAATTGCAGCAACTTTAATTCCCCATTTGGAAAGTTCTTGCCTCATTACTCCAGAAAACATGGACAGAGCTGCTTTTGATGCGCCATATGCAGCGTACCTCGGCAGCGGAATGCCTCCTGCAGGAGCAATATAAACATGATAAAGCTCAACGGCGGCTCTTTCCAGCCTTTATTTTCGTGATTTAGAAGGAAGATTATAGTGCAACCAAAACTACGTGGCTCTCACTGAGGTTAAAGACAAGTCAGTGAGAGAATCATTTCTTCCGGGAGGTTAAAAAAAGCAAAAGTTGTAAATTAGCAGTTATCCTCAGTAACACCTGATAAGACACCTGTATGGCAGAAGAAATAAACTGTGTTGCATTTAAGGGTAAAAATGCTGAAAATTACGACTGTTGGTTCCAGAAACACAGATAATCTTTTAGTTCAAATAAATAGTGAAGCAATAGTTTAATGCCACTGTTCTTGTCACTAACACAAATTTCAAGCTCCTACTATAAACCACAGTTACAACACGGTAAGTAATCTCAATCCTACCTTTATAAAACCAATTTATATTCCAGCTAATTTCAGAAAGACCAGAGTGCAAGAGTGGGGAAAACCTCTGTGGACAAACGGAAGCCAGAATCGCACCCCTGAGGAACAGGACTCCCCGAGACCTACCATGGAAGCAGATACCTTGCCTATAGTTATATCTCATCTTCTCCAACCCAAGCTGCATTTGTTCAGATGGAAAAGATAAACACAGCCAGTATTTTAGGTGAATTTAAAATAAATACACATTTACAAAACGAAAGCTTGCAGAAAATAATCTCTTCCAATGCAGAGATTTCCTCTGTTCCAAAAACTGTCAGACTATCACTTACAAATCCAAAGACACTTTGATTTGAGCATCTTCCCGTTCTTCAGCCCCTGCCCTTTCTCCACAAGGATGCTGCTATCACTGCACAGAGCATCGCTGCCAGGTTTCAGGGCCATCGCAGCCACCACGGGCTGGGTTGGCACAGCGGGGAGGAGGGAACAGAGGAGGCAACCCTTCTCCTTGAAGCATGTCACTCCTTCTCCTGGCTGAATGGGCAGGTGGGCACCTCCTCCAGCATGACCTTTGTTTCAAAGCTTTATCTCAATGTATTTGAACCTTCTAAAAGAAAACACTTTGCTACAGGGGAATTTTCAGGTAAGCCACTGGTGCCGTTTATTGGGTTTTGTATGGCAACGACCAAGGCATCACAGGAGCTTCTGACACAGAGTCATTCCTTTGAATAAGTCAGACCAATTATATGTGAATTATTCTTCTCTATGCATCTGAATGAGTTTGAGTTTCAATTGGTTTGAGCCAATTGAATCACGTCCTTTTTCCCCTCTGAGGTCAGGCTAACCTCCAGTCCAGTCAAACTAGCTCTACACAGACAGGAATAGTCAGCACAACAAGACCATGCTAACCTTCCGGCTGATGTTTCACCAAAGGACCCTCAGACCCTGCATTAAGAGGGAGCTATTTACCCAACCCGGCCCGCATGCGAGAACATCTGTGCAAACAGCGATCGTTTTATCAGGGCCATTATCAGCTCCTGTAAGGGCAAATTATTCAGCACAGGGAAGCTCTCCATTTATCCCTGCAAGGCAGCTCAGGGATTCATGCCAAGAATTAAGACATCTGCCCCAAAACACCTAAAGTGCAAGCTTCCCTTGGGTGCTCAGAGAAAAGAGTCCGTCCTCTGCCCCTGTGCTTGCAAGGGCTGGTGGGCACCAGGAAGGTCCTTCAGATCATTCAGCCCTGATTTCTTTGTCAGCAACAAACCATAAACACAGGCTTGCAGATACAAAACATACTTGGGATTATAAAAAGAAAACAGAGGACAACAGTGTCAGAGCTAGACTGAGGCCATGTCCTCAACAAAAGCTGTGAGCACAAGGTGACACATTCCCAAGCCACCCCAGCAATACAGCAGGGTTCGGTTAGACACCAGCTGCACAGAAGTAAGGGTTCAAGCTGCCAGGGCAATGGAAAATTTGGGAAGCAGATGATATGGTAAATCCTTAAGATGTCTTAAACCAAAATACTTTCCAGCATCATGACATCCTGCTTCGAGCAGGTCTCATTTTCAAAGGGGCGTTCTTGCTCCATCAGCTGCTGGCTACCAGATACTGTATTACTTCGGTTCCTACATCTTAGCATCTCAGCTGTCCTCCTAGAATAGAAGGTCATGCTATAAAGGCATATATATATATAGTAAGCACAGGATCCAATTTATGGGACAAACTTATTACCACTTTGCTAATAAGTTAGGCTAAAGAATTTTTAAGAAGATATAAAAAATATTTTTAAAGAAATAAGAACACAGACTCTCTTCAGGTCCCAGGTGATTAGCAGCCACGCTCTAGGACTCATATTTTTAAAGAAATAAGAACACAGACTCCCTTCAGGTCCCAGGTGATTAGCAGCCATGCTCTAGGACTGTGCACCCTGGAAAGAACGACAGGATGCAGCAAAAAATAAAACTGGCTTCTGCTCTTGAAGAATTAAATCTCTCTCTTCAGCAGGTGTTTTATCATTGTGCTTTCTCACTCTAACTATAGTACCTGAGCCCTACAAGGGTGGAGAGGTAGAGGTGCCCAAGTCAAATATCCAACATTTGTTATAGACTGTTATGAATGGCAAATGTCATGAACTTACCCAAAAGATATTTATGCTCCAATTTTAACCCAACGTATTAGAAAAGGTTGAAACTTTAGGTTTAACCAGCCCGAATGGAAGGAAGCTTGTCTCTGCAAAAGGCAGACAGCTTTCAGGCATCTCTAGTGTGGTCCAATGACACACAAACTGATGTGGCCACAGCCTTCTACCAGAACATGTTATAGAAACATCTGTGATTTGTCACCTATCTTTCTGGAAGCTCACAAAGCGATCACTCATGGCATCTATAACACAAGATCTGAATTTTACTGTCTTTTCTATTACAGCATATTTTTAGCCATATTAAACTCTTCTTCTTTAAGGGCTGTTTTCTGGAAATAGTCTCCCAAACAAAAGAAAAACCTGCACTTATTATCTAGATATTAATTCCCTAGGTGTGTTGACAAGCAAGACCAACCGACACCTTCCTCAGCATTTTTGCCAATGAAGTTAGTTGGGGTTTTTTTGTTGCACCAGAAATTTGGTGCTTTAGTTCAGCTCACCTGCCATGCTGGACACGTTAACCAGCCTCCCTCGGGATTTCCGCAGCAACGGTAAGAAGGTCTTGGACACCTCTACAGCCCCAAAGAAATTCACCTCCATGCACCGCCTGTAAGTGCTCATGGGGAGCAGCTCACCATCAGCGGGGAAGCCCAGGATGCCCGCGTTGTTCACAACTCCCCAGAGTCCTGGGAAGAGGAGAAAGCACAGGGCTGTTATACAGCAGGAAATCAGCTCCATGAGGATTAAACTGATGAGCTGGATGGAGCCTCCAGATCAAAGCAGAGATGCTCTGCAGCTACAGATACACAGTACCCACCCCATGAACAGTCATCACCAATTTTGATATGTCCCAAAAGCAGGAGTTATCAATAGAAGTACCCTGACTGCTCAGACTGTGGTGGAGAAATGACCCACGCATAAGCCATGATGCAGCCAACAGTTAAGAGATGCACCTTGGAAGCAGCTACTTTAGTACTCCCATTATAATAGAAAAAAAAAAAAAGCTGTACCTGTGTTTTGCACCTTCTCTGAGACTTGTAGATAAGCTTCCTTGACTTGGGTGGTATTGGTTATATCCATCTGCAGAAGAGAGAGTCTCCGAGAACAGGTCCGTCTCAGTTCCTCAGCTCCAGGTCCATCCTTATCCAAAACCCCAGCAAACACCACAAAACCCAACTTATCCAGGTATTTAGCCAGTGCATGTCCAATCCCAGTGTCACTTCCTGAAAGCATCAAAAAGACACTTGAAAAAGGGATCTGTCCTAAACTACAATTAAAAAAAAAAGGCACACATTGGAAATAGATGCAAATGTAACCAAACAGATGATGAAATAAAGGCACTGAAATACATACAACAGTAAAAAGAATGGTTCAGATCTGAAGGTTTGAGGAGCTGGACCTGTGCATGTTCCACAAAGACTGATAGACCATCAGCTCATGCTCTACAACTGACAGACTTACTTCATACATACAGGGGAAATAAAATCCTAGATTGGGTTTATTCAGATATTCAGACTGAAACCTGACAACAAAAGTACCTAGGAAAAAAAAAAACCCACCAAGAATACCTATCTCCTGCAATAGCCATTTATTACATAAATGCTCAGCTCAAAATTCATAGTCAAGAGCATTTTGACTGCCACAGACTCATCTCAGTCATGCTAGATCTTCATTTCTGGGTTCTGCCTTTTAACCGGGGCTTTAGTCCTGAAAGGTGAAAAAAAATTAATTCCAGGTGACTTGAAAGAAACATGTACTAAATGCCTGGATCAATCAGCACACGACGTTGAAAATAATTACTCATGTTCTACTTAATCCTTTTTTTAAAAAGTGTTTTGGCATTTTTGAAGCCTGCAGATTGTGGAAGATGCACCAGAGCACCACATACATCACACTCAGCTTCTCGCAGCCCTGACCTGAAAGAGGAGAGAAAAACAACCCTGCATTCTTACAATTCCCTACAGAGACACTGAGGTCTGCAAACATCCCATAGACATGACAGATTTCTGGGTTTGGGGGGGTAAGGTGTCCTTCTTTCTCTTTTAGTGAAGAACCCTGGTTCTGGATCAAATCCTTCCCCTTTCATCCTTCCCAGCAAGTACACGGCCACAGAGCTACCTCTTACCTAAGTTTTACAACAGCTTTAACTTGGGAAGGGGCAGAGCACTCAGCAACGAGGGATGGGTGTAGCAACCCCAAGAAGGAAATCAAAAGCAGTGTTTATCTGTGCCTGCTGCTGGGTTTGTCCCCAGCTTTTATTTTTTAAAAAAGTCTGATTTGAGTTTCAGAGCTGTTATTGAAGTCCAGAGAAACTTTACCCTTCAATTCATAAAATTTAAACAGTAGTTAGGTCTCTGTAGGGAAGAAATAGAGAACCCCACCCTGCCCCCCCTTGCTTCTATATCAAAAATAACAATTTGTGAAGGATCATAAGATTTATTATAAGAAAGGCAGCCCCTACTGACTGTTACTGAATCGTTACCAAGAATTTATCATCGACTCACAGTGAGCATCACACGCTCCAAGTCACACATTGAGAATGAAAAGACCAAGTTAACTGGAGAAATCCATCCCACTGCACACAGAAAAACAGAAGCAGGAATTTTTCAATTTTCAAAAATTCAATTCCTGCTACTTTGGATCTTCAGGGTAATTTAATTTTTAGGGAAGCTGACTATTGGGTCTACCAAACTACACTAAAGCGTTGGCATGCCCAGAAGCTTTGGTTAAGGACACTGAAGCACGCACTCCCAGCAAAAGGATCAATAGAAACATTTCACCAATGACTGTAAGACTGCTCACATGCCCACAGCTACTCACATAAAAAAAAACATTTTGGCAACTGGGCAGTTTTCCCTTATCATGGTACTTCAGTGAACTACTGTCTTAAATGACTAATGCACAGCAGCACCTGTACAAAGGACATCCAAGGAGGACCAGAATGTTATTTGACAAAACCCAAGGAGAGAAGCAGAGATTACTTCATCCTCTGACCAAGAGTGATGGGGGGCAGCTGCCCAGAGCACAGCGGCACTCCTCAAGCCTGCAAGGCTGAAAGGGGGGAAAAACAAACAAACAAAAAAATCAGCATTTCCCATGAAGAGCTTGCCTCAGATCTTGTCTAAATTGGGGAGAATGACATCAAAATTGATTTCAAGGCACCTTGCACCTGCACACAGACCCATGCCCTACGGCTGGTATGGGGAAGAGGACTACAATGAGAGCAATTTAACCAAGAAATGTGGTGAGTAAAGCTTTCACTTCAGTTGATGGAGGGTTTGATTGATTGCATACCAGTCTGGATTCAACTAAAGATCAAGAAGAGCCTCCTCAGACACGACAGCTGCCAGAGGTGTCCAAACTTGCATTCTTCAGGAGAGGTACAAAGCACGTTCACTGGCTGGAATATACCCAAACATTCTCCACTTCCCTGTACTGCTCTAATTCAGATTCTCTAGAGCAGGTAAACTCTGACAAGGGGCTTTTTTTCTGAAGAACTGCAGTCTCACAAAAAGCAAAGGGATGCCCAAGTGCAAGGGTGGGAAAGGAGTGCTCCTTATTCCCCCCCTGCTGACATCCACCTTCATCCGACACACCTGCAGGGAGAAACCCAGCTGGCAGATAAACAGCCAGGGGAGAACTTGCTGCTCATCTTGTCCTCTCCTAACTTTTGTGTTTAACTCCCAATATTAACGCTTGCTAGGCAAAGCTAAATTATTGCCAGGTGTTCCCACAAAACAAATTGAAATTCTGCAAGAAATAACTATATAAACCAAAGCAACTTAATTCAGCTTTCCAGAGGGGAAAAATAGAAAATAAAACAAGAGAGTGAGTTAACAGTGCAAGAAGCAGTTGGCAGACACTCCAGTTTAAAGGTATGATGAACACAAATGAACAACATTTAAACTTTTAGAAGAAACAGGAGAAAAGCCATAAAACTACAAAAATGCCATCCCTGCAAACTACAAGTGAGTTTTGAGGAGTTCATAGTGTTAACAGAGGCTGAATTCATGAGCTCTGAACTTTCACTGCTAGTGAGGGAAATTACTCACTCCCAAATAATTTCATATATCGTTTCAAAGAGATGGCACCAAACCAGTGTCTTGAAATATATGCATGATATACACATTCTGCACTGTGTAAATGCTCACACCAAAAGATAACTGTACATCTGTAAAAAGTGCAATATATTCCAGTAAACGTAATGCATGAATGTAGTGTTCTCAGGGCTTCCAGAAATTAATGTCTCTCTTAAAAAATCAGACTATTATAAGTATTCTTATGCTTTTTGCACTACTAAATTTCACAAGTATATCTAAAAAGCTACTTCTAAAGATTAAAAGAGACACTAAAAAATAATAGCATCTATTAAGATGCTTTTCTATTTAATTTCAGAACAAATGTACCTGGAAAAAACATCCATAGCAAAGCAAACAAAATGAGAAAAAAATAAAAAAAAACCTTACGAGCATGCATTTCCTAGATACCTAACCCGAGGACACAAAAGTTTTCCAGCCCACTTATGAGAAAAACCAGTTTTTGCTTCCCAGAGCACATCAGTAGCGCCTTACCTGTGATGAGCACAGCTTTGTCGCCCACGGGCAGCAGCGCCCTGCCACCCAGGTACACACAGGAGACGAGGCTGAGGGTGCAGAACACCCCCAGCCCCCCAGCAGCACCCAGCATGTCCACACACAGCAGCCCCAGTAAGGGGGGCAGGAGGCTCCAGAGCAGCAAGTTCACTTTCTCTGCCAGGCTCCTCTTGGCCATGCAGAGCATGGTCACCCCAAAAAGCACGGTGACACCCGTGCAGACCCATCCAAGGGGGCTGCTGGGGAGAGCATCCATCAGCAGGGGTGAGAGGCAAACCCTCCCCCCAGCATGGGCTGGGTGAAAGCAGGTGTTGGTAAATGCAGCGGGTGTTATATAGGAGCAGGGGGTGGGGCAGAGCAAGGGGAACTCCGTTTAAAGGTTTGACATAATCTCACTTACCCTTAGCATCAGCAAGAAGCAGAAGCTTTCCTTTTCTTACCTTTTATTCTTTCTACCTGACAGCTCCACCTTCTGAACAATATGCTGCCTGGATAATGATTGACAGCACCGGGAATGGACATGATGTAGCAAGCGCTGCCTTCAGGGAAAAAATAACCGCTATATGTTTTGTATGTTTAAAGTACATTTTCCTAAATAGGGAAAAATAACAGTTTCCTTTCTGGGAAATAATTGGAATTTGCTGCTTAAAAACGTAGGGGTAATTTCAGTGGAACTGGTTTTTGACAGGCAGTGAGTCAGGACAGGGTTATCGACCCTCTGTAGTGCAAACTGTGATTAGTGTTGGGTTTTATCACATAGGGGTCACGCTCTTCTTTCAATAAAAAGCCCCAAATGACCTTCCCTGCTTTAGGGCACAGCTTTGGGTACCCCACCTTCAGGGAATACCTGTAGGTAACTGACATTCAAGGGGGGCTGGAAAGAGGGGATTGCTGGCTTGCCATTAGGAGCACTTTGTTAAGTGAACACATGTAACACCTGAGACAGAATCTTCAGCTGACCTCCAGTGATGACATTAATCTTAGGTTGACAGGAATCACTGGTTCAATACCCACTGCAAGTCAAAAAAAAAAAAAAAAAAAAAAAGGGCAATTGATTAACTATATTTGAGAGATATAACAACTACTGTGGCGTGCTCTGAAAGTTACTTAAACAATAAGAAAATATTTTTAAACCCATCCAGCTGAAAGGATTGAAATACAATGTAGGCAAATTTAACCCTGAAAATCCTGGCTATTTGGTTTGAGGGATGAGCTTAAGTTATCACACAACCAGCTAACACGATGTAGCTGGTCTTCCATATGAAAATACGCTGCCGACCTGTTTTATGTTAGACAGACACGGGAAGACTGAAGTGCAGGAGACACAAGCACATTTCTATCCCATTATGTCTGTGGGGTTTTACGGGATGACAAATCTCTTGAATATAAACTTTGCAGTCAGTGAAAATGTTTACATACCTCTATAGGCAGTCTACACTAGAGATGAGATCACTGTCTTAAAGGAACATCACCCTCAAGGTCTGCTTGTCATTCAGGGCTATCATGAACGCTCACTCACCCATCCTCACACGAGTACATAAAGTGTAAACTGTTCTCACTTCCCTTTGCCATTCGCTGCTTCTCCTGTTAGTAGCACGCTGGTTTCGAGGCCAGTTATGCCTTGTCCTCTGTTAAAGGCATCTTCTTAAAGATTTCCTTGCTTTCTCTCCCTAATTGGTCTTTATTGCATGATTTAGCACAAGTGTGCTGGCGTTTAGAGCATCCGCTCTCACACTTGAGGACAGAGTTGGAGTTTTTGCCCAGTGGGCAGAGGAGCAGAAGTGACCCCATCTAGCTCGATGTCCTGGCTCCCCTCCGCCTGCAGGGATGGGGCAGAGGTGGGCGAGGGGCCAAGCAAGGGTGGCCACTGTGCCTGGTCCCTGCAGAGCAATCTCCATTTGAGCTTCCCCTCTGCTCCATGCTCCCCTGACACTTCTCATGCTTGCCCCCTCCTTCACCCCCTGAATCAGAGCAGGAGGGTGACACAACACTCATCAGCACCCACAACACTGCAGAACAACCATGGGAAGGGCTGGTGCAGACTGATGTCTGAATTCATGTTGAATTTCTATTCTCAATAAAAAATGCAACCACCGAAGGCTTCTTTTAATGAGAAGCTGACCACCCTGGTGTGTGAATAAAATTATATGTAAGCACCTAGATCATACACACCCTGAGACAGGTTGCTGTTGGAAAGGAGAGTATGATCTAAAACTGTCTAAAAAATGTCAACTTGGAGTACCCACCCTGTGTACCCGCTGCATGTCCCCCAACACCAGCAGAGAGATTACTGCTTCAGGAGTTTTCAGCACAATTAGGTAATGAGACACGTTTTATCATCTCATGCCCACTATCCATCTTAAGAAAGCATCTGCTTTCCTCTCTGTCACTCTGGTACGTCTCCAGTTCCCACAGCTGCACATTAACACCAGATTGCGGTTGAGTTTGCATTATTTCCTATTTCTCTGTGCCATGCCTACGCATCCTATGAATATCCCTCTTTATGTCACCTCCTTCCTGACAGTTTTGCTGGCAAAGCTGTGGCTCCTCTAAACTATCAGGGTGTTCCTTCAGCATGACAGGGGACTCGACAAGGAGAAGGGATTTGAGCTAATTGTTTTTGAGCTGAGCTTGACCTTCTACCTTTACCAGGACATTTGCCTTTCTCCCCAGCTTTTCAGAGCCCGTCCCTTTATGCCCTGGCATTCTACCTGCTCTACACTGAAGCCTGGACACTGCTTCCATGGTCAGCCCATGTCAATGCCAAATACTAGCAGAGAAACCATTCAGACCAGCCTCATGGCTGAACCCTTCTGTCGGGCCACTACTTACCCGCCATGAGCACTTCCATCTCTGTGCATGTTTCTGATGTTTCTAAAAGGGACCGATGTTTCTGTGCCCCACTGTGTAAGTCTCGTCGTGCCAAGTGACAACTTGGAAGGTCAATTACAGCAATGGCAAAAGAAGATGTTTTTCATGGAGAGCGATCCTTCCATGGTAGTCTGCAATGTGAATGGTTGGGCTCTACAGGACCTCTTGAGTCCAAATCCAGCTTGTTTTTCTCTGAACTCTACAGTTGCATCATCTTTCACCCTGTGTAGTATCACTGAAGAAGACCATCCAATGTATGGGATCTGTACCACAGGCATACACTCATTAACCTATGTTCTCATTCTTTAGGCACAAGCACTTTTTAAAATTTACCTCCTTCCCATTTCTTTAAGCTTTTCTCTTGTCATGCCCTGCTGGCTCTATATTTTTCAGTGTGATGGAGGCAGCCTGTGCTTTTAATTTCTGTTCTTAACATGAAAAAGGGCAAAATGGTCAAGTTCCCCTCTTCCTTTGAAGCGTGGTGAAGCTGAGCCTGTTCACAGCTTCTTGGAAATGCACCACCAAGCTCTTTTTCTGTTCTACCTTGGTAATGAGCACTCTTCTGTCTTAGCTTTTCATGACTTTATTTCTGGTTCAGAAGCTTTCCTGCTGTTTATTTTTTTAAAGCCTCTGTGACTTTCTAGCATAGCAGAAGCCTCCAGTTCAACCACGAGACCTTCAGCATGTCCCTGCAGGGTTTTTCACTTCTTTGTCCACATTTCTCATGCGCTTTCTTTGCACTTTCCAGTAATATACTAGTCAACATTTTTCCTTTCAGCACTTTCCCTTCAGCCAGAGGTACCACATGCCATATCCAACAGTTGCGTTCTGTTGATATTCTCCTGTTCCAGCTGCAACATGAATTACGTGTCTAGAAGCACAAACCATTTTTCCTACATGTCCAATCTCTATCTCAGCTTCCTCTGTCTCTGCCAGTCACAGATTTGTTTTTCAGTTCAGGCTGGAATTTATCACAGAACTCTCCAGTTTTCCATTTCGCTCTATTTTATGTGCTGATTCAGGCTTTTTCAGCTGCGCAACGCAATGACTGTTGCTCCTGAGAGCGTCTGCTCCATATGCTTCATGTGTTTCTGTGGCTTGAGTAGGGGATGTGCATTTCAAGTTCTGTAGGGATGATCCTGGCTATGAGGCTTTTCTCGGAAAATAATTTCAGCAGAAAGTAGGTTGGAATCTGTTTTACCAAATAAGTCGTTAACCAAGGCAGAAAAATTATTCTCATGTGTAAATAAATATATGAGCAGAAAAAATATGGAATTATTTACTTTGATTGACTACAGCTTCTGAGAGTACATAAACACCTTCATACATTTGGCTCTTGGTGGATTTAATGGCTGCACGAGCACTTGTCAGGCTGTAAGTCCTGGATGCAGAAGCTATCAAACTTGCATCACAAAATTCATTTGGGCAAACAGACTTTGCTCTCACAAATACCACTGAACTCCTATACAAAGGCTGAGATAATCCTCTGCCTTCAGCCAGTTGGCTGTTCATGCACTCAACTTGAAGCACATGAGTTGTCCCAGCAAAGACGACAAAACTGTTTGTCTGCCTAACGCTAGGAATGCAGCCAAGTACCTTTGTGAATCAAGATCTCTAAACTCACAGGTACGTACTGAATAAGGGCAAAAAAAGATGATGTGCAAGTGAAAATAAGGCTGTGTAACCTCTCTTTTGTCTTCAAACTATTTCTTTAATAGATCCTTAGGGAAAATAATTCCTGTCAAATAATGTATCCATTAAAGAAAAGTAAGAAATATATTTTACCTCTAAGTTACTGAAGATTTTGTTTTTAGAAATGAAGTAATTTTAGAAATAAAGTCAATTCAGAGATAGTAATTCCTGAAGATCACCTGGCAGTGAAGAAGCAGCTGTAGCTCACCATTTCTCAATATTCAAACAAAAGGTAATATTAATAATAATAACTTCCTCAGCTAAACCTCCTGTTACTTTCTCAAGTGGAAGAACCTCAGAGTGAGGAACCTCTGTACTGATGGCCAAACTGGACCTGTAAAACCTTTTGGCAGGTACCCATGCAGTACACACCTTAGCATTATACGCTCTTCAAAATAAATAATCGCAGCCTGTACTTCCCATGGGAATCCAATGCCTGCAGAAGCTCTATCTTTGAAGCAGTAGGTCTTGTAATAATGTGTCATATGAAATGAAGCCATGAGCTGTAAGTTCTGCCTTAGTATCTACATGAACTTTAATCACCCTTTGTGAATTTTCTGCAATAGACAAAACATCTTAAATCAGAGAAATCACTAAGATTAGGAGCTCTCCTTTGTGTTTGCAAGGGAGGTTTTCTTCTCTAACTCTGCAGACATCTATGGATCTCTAGGCTTTCAGGAACAGCTAAAAGTA